GTGAGGTCTGTTGGAACTAGAAAAATGGTTTATATATCTGTGGAATGGCCAGGGTGAGACAAAGGACTCTTTTCTGCTGGAGCTAGGTGTGGTTTCAACTGACCACCTTGATTAACATACAATGGCCTGACTGCGCCTGGGGCAAACTTTTGTTGAGAAGTGATTAGATGTCCTTGTTTGTTTCCTCTCTGTTGTTTTGCTGTTGCAATTTTAGAGTTTTTTAATACTGGTAGCCAGATTTTGTTCATTTTCATGGTTTCCTCCTTTCTGTTGAAATTGTCCACATGCTTGTGTATTTCAAAGGCTTCTCTGTGTAGTCTGACATGGTGGTTGTGAGAGTGGTCCAGCATTTCTGTGTTCTCAAATATTTGGTCATTCCACAGTCCTTGGTCATTCCACAGATATATAAACCATTTTTCCTAGTTCCAACAGACCTCACTACCTCTGAGGATGCTTGCCATAGACGCAGGCGAAACGTCAGGAGAGAATGCCACTAGACCATGGCTATATAGCCCGAAAAAACCTACAACAACCCATTTCTAGAATAATTTTTGAAGTAAATCAGACTCAGAAAATATTACTGACTAAAAGGGAATCTACACTCCAATAGCCCAGAGTTTCTGTGGTGGAATGTTGAATTATGGTTGTAGAAGGAGGAGTCTATAGAAAGAGGGGAAAGAATACACTGATAAGCTTCTTTGATAAGAACATAGTTGGGTGTCAGGAATCCAGAACAGGGGGACTGTATATTGCAGCATTTTGATATAGGTCGCATTTCTTCTGGTTATTAGTGACACAAACTACAAGAAAGGAGATTCCATCCGAACATTAGGAAGAACTTCCTGACTATGAGAGCTGTTCAACAGTGGAACTCTCTGCCCCGGAGTGTGGTGGAGGCTCATTCTTTGGAGGCTTTTATACAGAGGCTGGATGGCCATCTGTCGGGGGTACTTTGAATGCAATTTTCCTACTTCTTGGCAGCGAATTGGACTGGATGGCCCATGAGGTCTCTTCCAACTCTATGATTCTATGATTCTATATACATAGATGGAAACATAAATATAAATGTAACATATAGGTATTGAAATAGACAGAGATATACATACATGCATATATATGTTTGTGTGTGGGGGGAGGGTACTGTTCCATTATATGGGCAGAGGCCACAAGGGGGCACTAGACAGAGAAGGATAGTCCATTTTACGAGGGGGGGGGGTGTTGAAGGAGTTATACCATTTCCCCCTGTTTTCATGTTAATTCCCCCCACCCATGTCTCCTTAGTCAAAACAACCATATGGGAAGGGGAGGGGAATGACAAGCAAAAATGGGGGAAATGTTTTTCCTCCTTCAACTCCCCATATAATAGACTATCAATCTCTGTCTAGACCCCCTTTTGGAGCCCGCCCTGATAATGGAACAAATACACACACACACACATGTTTGACTGTTACATTTGGTATCTGTCAGAGTTCCTGTAAACTATACTGGTGCTAAAACATGATATGTTTATTTTCCTCCTATTTGCACACCCATGGGAACAAACATCTAGATTTTAATTATGTTTATAAAATTAATTCCCAATTGGCAATCACCAGGTACTTCAGAAAACAAGTCTGTAGGGGATAATTCCATGCTGTAATCCCTGTTTACTTCCCCAATATCCTAATTAGTCTGCTTCTGAAAGGGTTTCAAAAAATTAATCTGTCCCACTAAGGAATATCTGCAGCATCTGATACTTTCTGTTTTGCTTTAGCAAAGGAAATTATCTGGCTATGCTCCTGTTGGCAAACTAGAATATCATAGCTCTGGTTTTTGTTTTATTGCAGGATTTAATGGTTAATCTGAAACAAAACATGCTGAAGTTATTAGATGATTCAGAGTGCCACAATTATTTTATACTACTGATGTACAATTAGTAATGAATTCTGATATATTTAGATGAATTAGACACAGCCACTGAATAAATCATAAATTGCATGTTTCTTTGGAAAGAAGAGGAAGGAAGATGTGGTTTGCCCTCAGATACTGAGAGCAAATTTTTCGACTAGTTTTCTAGTCTCTGCCTCTGGAATTTAAACTGTAGCCATCGATATATGGAAGAAAAGAGCCCATTCTAAGCACATTGTGTCCATATAGTTTAGACTTGGAGTGCTAACTTACTTATGGTTTTCCTGAGGAGAGATTGAGGGCATTCATTAGAAACATCCTTTGTCACAGAGCTCTCCTTTTTGTATTTCCTCTGTAGTTGATAACGTGGAGAAAATTTTATTAATACACACTGTTTGCCCCCTCTGCCTTTGCAAAAGAAAAAAAAAAGAAAAATTGTTTGGTTATTCCAAGTCCATGCTTAAATTTCTGTTCCATACAAACTATGTGATTGTGTTCCTGATGCCAGTATCTGGACTTCAGTAAATCTTAATATCTTCAATTCAAATTGTGCTCATTATTTGAAGAAAAAAGAGTTCTTCCTTGTCAATTCACTGATTGAATTGATGGAAAGCCAGCAGTCATTTTAATGTAAGCCATTGCAGCAGTTCAGATAAGGAATAACGAAATGGCTACAATGCAGGTCAAGGTTTTTGCATGGTTTTTCCATGATTTACTCTATAGAGTTTAGTGCTATCAGTTAATTTTTGCATTTTGACTTTTTTGGCACCTGGACAAACCAAACCAAACATTCAGTTGTGCCAGCATTCTTAATCTAATTTAAAAGCTTTTGACAGCTGTTATGATACTCTACAGTGTCCATTTGTGAATATTATGCAGCAAATATTTGAGGTGTTGCTGGCATATGTCCTGTTTTGACTATAGCTATCAAAAGGGCTGTGGAAAATTCATGAATGTTTGATGGACACTCAGGTTGATCTCATTTTGGGGCTCACCCCTTTCTCTGAATGGTCCAGCTTTGCTTTTAATTTCTTCCCCTCTTAAACGCAAGTTGTCCATTGTTTGTTGCCATTCCTAAATACACCCTGTGCACTCAGTAACTGAGAATATGGATAAGGTCTTTGAAGTGATGCATCGTTTGAACCCTTTAGTATTTGGATGTGAATGAGACAGAAGCTGGGTTAAATGCTAAAGAGTTCAAATAATTAGAATGCAATAAAGAAAGGACATTAGAAGCACAGTGTGTGTGTGTAGGTGTGTGTAGGTGTGGGTGGGTGGGGTGGGGCTGAAAACAAAGCAGTCTTGGTTCCACGTTGAACATAAAAAGGGCAATGTTGGATCAGACCCAGAATTCTGTGCACACAGTAACTCAACATCCACCTATCAGACTCTTCTGCATCCAGACATGAAGGGCAACTGCACTCTACCTCCTTCATTCCACAACAACTGATAGGTAGAAGCATACTGCCTGTGCTATTGGAGAAGATAAACAACTGTTCCTGATTAGTAGTCATCCAGTCCCCTTTTAAAGCCATCCAAGTTGGCAGTTTCCAGTACTTTTTATGGCAGTAAAGAATAAAAATGAGTTATGTGGAGAAGTAGCATGGTGATTATGGGATTGTATCCAGAAGCGTCCTCTCTTGTGTTATGGGCATTTCTACTAGTTATTCACAGTTACAAATCCGTGCTGCTTTTGCAAAGGCTGTGAGTGAAATCAAGAGAAACTGTGACCCAACCTAGATTGATACAAGACTGAAACAAGCATTTTCCGTTTGTATCAATGACAGTTTTCCAGTCTGCGACGGAAATTGATCCATTTGGATGTGTTCCGCAAAAGCAAAATTGGCCCCTAGACCCACAGTAGTCAGTTTGTGAAACTGTAGCTATGGCAGACTTTGGCAAGAAGAGTTTTGTAAATCTGACCCTCATTTGACTCAGTGAGACTTGAGTATCCTTGAACATTTGACATCATTTGATGCTGAGCAATAAAAAATCTGTCCTGGGATGATTATTCATTACCTTGGTTTCTAGGCAAATAAAAAAAAGATAGAACTTAATCAGGGCTTTCAAACACCTTGATGAAAACAGGAGTGTTCTGGTCCCCGAACGTTAAGTTTAATCACATTTTACTCTTTCCCCGCCCACATCCTTGTCACTCAAAAGGAACTGTGATGGGGAAGCTTATAAATCAGGCTTGTTTCCCAGATTGTCTGTCTACCTTGTGAAGGTGACATGGCGCCTCAAATGATGAATACTGTCATGTTTTGATTAAAAAGTCAGAAGTCCTTTAAGGGGGTCAGCATACTGAATTGAATAATGCATCCTCAACTGTTTTCATGCTAAAATTATTTAGCAGAGAAAATTGATGTTTTGTAGACATGTATTCTGATGTTCTATTACATTATATAGTAAACAGAACAAACTGTGCTCTTTTTTGCAACGAGGAGGTTATAAAAGCTTAAGACAGTAGCTGTTGTAAGGCACTGGTTATCTCATTTAAACAGATATTAAACGTGGATGCCAGTAGTGTGATCATCAGCTGCTTCCCATTTTGTGAATAAATTGCTTAGAAAGAGTATTTTGCCTACCAGATGTGACCTAGATTTAGATTTCCAAAGGCAAAAACAGTCTATTGTGTAAAAACAAAACAATTGCTGGTAAAATGCATGGTAAATGAGCTTATCTCACATTTCCAGGTGTTTAAGCTAATATGTTAAGGAATTACTGCTTCATTTATGAAAAATAATTGCAGAAAATGTTTCAGCAAATCAAATTTGGACAAAGGCTTATGAGGGTTATTGTGTTGTTGTCATTTTTTAAAAATAGAAATAACAGGGAGGGAAGCAGGGACAATAAAAATATAAGGGGTGAAATGCTGTATGAGAACAAGGTAGGATGTAGGTGTTGTGTTCAAATATAGCTTAATGTTATAAAGAAGTAGAGTTCTCACAGAGCATATGCTGTTACCAACAAGAATCCCAAGATATCAAAATATTGGCACGTGCCACCCTAATAGTTATTGTTAGCCACTACTGTTTTAAATATAATAAATGGGAAGCGCAGTGTCTCACTTCTTTTCTTTTCTTCTCTTCTTTTAAAATATTCTTCTGTAGGTGCTGCTACTCGAAAACCAGACCCTGAGCCAGAAAAGCAAACAGACCACACTGTTAAAATAGCTGGAGTGATTGCAGGAATCTTGCTGTTCGTTATTATATTTCTTGGGGTTGTGTTGGTTATGAAGAAAAGGTGAGTAGTTGATAAAGCTTTGGTGTGTGCATATTTGTGTTGCAGTATCTCCTGCAGCAATTTCCAATAAAACACTTGCCAACTTTCCAACCACATTTCCAAATAGTTTAAAAACAAAATGCTGTTTATTCTCCCTTAAAGCCTTGTTGGTGTTAGGTGAAATGGCAGTTATCTGATTCTTCTGTCCTCCAGTGTTCATAGTGAATTAATGTTAGTGCCCTTGTGTTAAAACACCCCGAGAGTGATAAGTCTAACACTCAGCCCAAATGACATATGCATACTCTTTATCTGTACATCTCCTCTATTCAGAGCTGAGGTGAATGTTAGAGGAGTTTGACCCCTTAAAGAATATAGACTTCTTTGCCAATTAGAGTTTTTTTTTAAAGCTCAAACTCTTACATTCATATCTGAACCTAAACATTGGATAAAAAAAACTAAGTGGAGCAGAAGTGGCCATGAACATTAATAGCTGTGGGTTCCACATCCTTTCTGATGTTTTCACTTCTGGGAAAAGTCCCACAAGCTAGTATACAGCCAAAGTTACATCTTTGGATCTAGTTTCACACAGAACATTTTAAACAGAATGACTGTTTAGGCCTTCTATGAATTGAAAGCTCCTTCCACGAACGAAGGAACACTGTGGACCCAACCCAGTCATAAGATAGGTGGATGGGAGAGGGTATTTTTGTTTAGATCCATGGATTTCTGTGTTTTTCTGTATAGTTTCCCCCCTTGATAAATGAAATGACCATATTTTGTTGATTCTGAAGATAACTTAGAACCGATTCATGAAGAATTGTGAGAGAGTAGAAAGAATGTGATTCTTCTGATTAATTACTAGTTTTAAGAATACTGTGATACTGTCCTGCTTTGAAATATCTGATATCAAGGTGAGATTTTTTTTAGCGACTAAAACAAGATAATAATTTTGGCAACGAGGGAATTTAAGAGTATTGCATACTACAATAGAACTTGAAAGTTAGTAACCTTATTATACATGTACTTAAGTTCATTTGTTGGTGGAGCCTTGGATTGACTGGATATGTTAGCTTTGAAAAAAATTGATTGTGTTTTAGAGTGCTTCTCTCTTTGCAGTTCCTGCCTTCCTCAATGAAGTACACATCACTACAGTTTCTGCTGACCTTGTGTCCTTTAATGGCACCAAGCCTATTTCCTATAAATCTTGGAGAGTCCCAGATGAAAAATGGTCTATGAGCTAAATTGAGGGAAGGGAAATATGTAGGTGTATTTAACTCATCAACATATTAATATATTCCTTGGGGCATTCTGAAGAATCAAATGGAATTCACTTTTCAGGTAATGAAAAGAATTTACAAGGGAAGCAGAGAGAAAAAAGTGACAAAAGTAAATGAATTTCTTTGAGAAAAAGATATTAAATATAACTCATATCTCTAAGGGTCAAAAAAGAGTCTGAAGCATTGCATTTCTAGAAATACATAGAAACATACATATCATAGGCTCAAATTCAATGTATTAAATAAACAGATACTTCAACAATGAAAAGCAGTCTAGAGAATGACAGAATATAAAGCATATAAGAAATCCTATATTGGACTTTATATTTACTTTTTATTTTAGAAAAAAATTTCCAGACTAGTGTTTTGTCATTAAAATATATTGCATCAAAGTATAAGGCATTCAGTCAAAATACTAATTGTACGTTCTTGGGAATTTCTCTACAAGCCTGCTAAAACTTGTAAAATAAGTACTTATAAACTTGGCCGCCACTACTCCATTCCACCCCAAATGGAAGGTTCATCACATTCTTTGGGCTTCTCTATGTTACTGCTTAGGCTGAAAAGAAGTTAGGGAAGGAAGGAAGGCTGCCATTCTCTGCTATGGGAAAGGGAGGTGTAATGAGATAGAAGCTAGTTTCCATGCCCTGCTATGCCACTTCCACGAGTGGCTTTTCATGTTTTCCTCTTGTCACTGCCTTGGACTGCGAGATCAAACCATGTTCCAGGAAATAAAGCCCAACTGGAGGGAAGGATGTTAGAGACAAAGATTAAGTACTTTGGCCATATGATGAGAAGACAGGTTAGCATGGAGAAAATAATGATGCTGGAGAAAATGGAAGGAAAAAGGAAGAGGGGCCGACCATGTGCAAGATGGATGGATGGTATCCTTGAAGTGACTGGCTTCAAGCTGGGGGTGGTGATGGCCGACAGGGAGCTGTGGTGTGGGCTGGTCCATGAGCTCACAAAGAGTCAGAAACAATTGAATGAATAAACAACAACAACACTGCCTTCGAGCTGAGTCACTAATACAGACAGATTATTTTCCTTGCTTTTCTCTCATTGCTTTCTTAGGGTGCATTCACATTCTTTTCCTCATTTGTATTCCTTTCCGTATCTATATTTGCATAGATGTAGGCATTTTAAGATCAGCAATGTAATTCACCTCTATCCACCCCCATTGCAACTCCTCAAATAAACGGATCTTCTTTTTAGGTTTTCCTAAGTATGTTCTCTTTATGAATTTATGATTTTTTAAGGGAGAGGAAATTATTTCTTTGTTACATGTCTCTATTTTTTACCCACAACAGAGTAAAATCCATGGGTTAGAGTTGAATTCAGGTGCCAAAACCTGTATACATGAGGTTGACTTATGCACGGATATATACAGCAATGTAGGGAAAGGTTCTTTCTGTCCCACGTGTGTGTTCCAAAAATTACAAACTAGGACAGGGAGGGAAATACTTTAGGTTCTCTGACCCATCCAAATTCATCTGTATCCTTAGAAAATATCTATTAGGTGAATAGCTTCCTCCCATTCTGGATCTTTTAAATAAACATTAGCCCTTCTATTAGTTACTCCTTGTCCCATACATTGGTTGTAAGATGTGAATGTTATTGCATAATACTGATAATAATTCTAATCAATTTTGTCATGACAATTAAATCCTAATTTTTTGGGGAAAGAGCAGGCCCCATTTTATCAACACTATTTAAAATAATAATAACAATACAATAAAAAGACCACCTTAGAAATGGCTATTTAATGCTATATTGACTCTGTAGGGGTGTTGTGTCATAGGCCGATAGTGTAATAACCTAATTCCATCACCCCCATTTAATTTATGTATTGTGATTTTTTTTAAAATCAGTATTTAAATTGAAGGAAGCAACTAACAGATCATCTATACTGACCACCTAGGGGCTTATCTGACATAACCTTGCCCCATGTTTAGCTAAGCCAGGGGAAAGGCCAAATCCTGAGCCAGAATTCAGGCTTTATCCCAAATTTAGGGCTGTCAATACAGTTGGGTCGTTGCTAACTGGAACCAGCCACAGCTATCTTAACTCCCATCCCACGTTCCTCAGCCTCAGGCAGCCTGTGGATGTGAAATGGCTGTCCACACATACATGCACGTGTCCCCAGCCATGATACCCCACCCACTTTCTCTTGGTACCCTAGCTGACATCACCCAAAGCATGCCAACAGAGGAGGGAGAAGACAGGGTGCTCCACCCACTCAGCTTCCTTACCAATTCAGTGCTTAGGCTGATTTTTTGTGTGTGTCAGGAGCGACTTGAGAAACTGCAAGTCGCTTCTGGTGTGAGAGAATTGGCCGTCAGCAAGGACATTACCTAGGGGATGCTCAGATGTTTTCATATTTTACCATCCTTGTGGGAGACTTCTCTTATGCCCCTGCATGGGGAGCTGGAGTTGATAGAGGGAACTCATCCACGCTCTCCTCGGATCTGTAGGTCTTCAGTCTTGCCGGCACAGGGGTTTAACCCACTGTGCCACCGGGACACCGCTTAGGCTGATGTCAGTGCTGGACAGGGCCTCAACCACCTCTGAGGCAAAAAGCCGTCTCCCTGCCCACATGTTGTGGCTATGCCGAGCTCTGACATACCACCTACCTGGCTTAGGCTGATGTCAGCCAGGTAGGTGATATATCGGAGCTGGGGACAGCCACAACATGTGGGCAGGGAGACGGCGTCTTGCATCAGAGGTGGTTGAGGCTCAGTCCAGCATTCAGCATAGCAGTTCAAGCCCACATTAGCAATCACTGTGGAAAGGCCTATTGATACTTAATAAAATTAACTTTTAAATGCTTTCATAGAATCATAGAATCAAAGAGTTGGAAGAGACCTCATGGGCCATCCAGTCCAACCCCCTGCCAAGAAGCAGGAATATTGCATTCAAATCACCCCTGACAGATGGCCATCCAGCCTCTGCTTAAAAGCTTCCAAAGAAGGAGCCTCCACCACACTCCGGGGCAGAGAGTTCCACTGCTGAACGGCTCTCACAGTCAGGAAGTTCTTCCTCATGTTCAGATGGAATCTCCTCTCTTGCAGTTTGAAGCCATTGTCCGCGTCCTAGTCTCCAAGGAAGCAGAAAACAAGCTTGCTGTTAGTCTGCCTGTCATCTGTTCAGGGCTGAAAAATGCGGTATAGAAATAAAGCAAATAAATAAAATAAATAAGTAGTTCAGTGAAATTGTAAATAAAGTGATCTAATTATTCATAGGAAAATGTTACTTTAATTTGCCAACCAAACAAGAACTCTAGATATTTCACATGCCCGACCAGTGTACGAAAATAATGTATAATTCTTTTAGGAAATGGGACATGATTTTAATTTTTAGCTTTCTTCCATCAATTCTATGCATTTGAAAAGAATGTATGGCTTTCTTTCAGATCTGAAGGACTGTGTAACATCTGTAGCGTTAATCCTATATATGTCTGATAAACATAAAAGGGACAGCCTGCCAGGAATTGCTCTCCTTTTTTCCAATTGTTTCATAAAGATTTGAGCCTGTACTTGGTGGATCACTTTCTGTGTTATCAGCTGATGACAGTATTAGACACTTAATCTTTTTAAACAAATTCTGCTTCAGTGACTTTTAGATTGATTTTTATGATGGTATTTCATAACTTTTTAAAAAATCTGAAAGCCTCCTTATTAAGTATAATAATTGGTTATTTGCTTATGGTTTCTAAGTTCCTGTGAAAAATTGCAAGCACCATTC